CCCCAAAACCCCAAAACCCCAAAACCCCAAAACCCCAAAGCTAGAGGTTACTATTGAGAGTTTATCTAAGTCTACGATTTAATGATATTTATTGTAGCTCAAATCAGAATCAACCTTGCACTCCAAAGGAGACCACAAGGAGCAATATTTATATATCCAATGATAACGACTTTTCCCTGCTTGAGTTACTAATTTTCTTTGAGGGAATACTTCTGGTGGAGTGCAGCCCTATTTTAAGGTTGGGTATTTTGATCATGTTATTCACTGACTTCTTTAAAGAAAGCCCTCTATAAATAAATGGTAGTTGGTCATAAGATGTGATCAGAAATTTTCAATAGTTATGCGTTGGAGGAGATAACACAAGAAACCCAATTACCTCATCTTTTGAGCCTCTTGATGCTGCATGATTTTAGATTTCTGCCGTTTGGAGTAAGTAATCTGGCTTGGTTTAATAGTTTTAACTCCAGGGTTATTTAATGTGAAATGATAGCTCTGGTTTTGAAATTTATAGGAAATTCCTTTTTTATTTCTTTATCATTTTATCTATTTCTTGGCAGAGCAGCATGCGCTCTTTTACAGTATCTCTAGATATTAATAAATACTCTGAATTACCTGATTTTGCGATAATCTGAGACAAACTCAGTTGAATTTTTCGGATATAAATTTGGAGTCCTGAATTTTCCGAGGGGGAGTTGGTGGATCTCTCTAAAAATTAAACAGCTTATTTGCCTCATTTTCGAAGAATCTTTCTTCTTTAGTTGAATTTTGGCTAGTTTATCTGGATAATTTTTGTCTAAAAATAACCCTGAGTGTTTACTTGCAATGTCAGAGACAAATCGGTTCAGTTCATCAATCACGTATCCTTTTGGCTCTAAAATTATGAAACTGAGTACCTTGTTGTTTGTTTGAGATTACCTCCAAGATAGAGGTCCTTTTATACGGCTTGAGTGACCTGGAAAACTAGTTTATTATGTAATTACTCCGAATTATTTAGAACTTTTTGCTTTATTGTTAAGAATAATCTTGTTGTGCTCATCGAACTCTATCTCAATATCTGTGATCTTCATTTTTCTGGGATCAGTTTCGGTGTGAAATTTATTCCCATTTTCCTTACTTATGCCTCTTTAAAATATTTAACACCATTCTATAGTAACCTATCAGTACAAAGTGACTTGGAAAAGTAGGGTAACTTCGAAGGCTGCTTAGAGCTTATCTCACTAATTAAAGTGGTTTTAGTAACTACAGTAACAACATGAATAATTTCATATAAATCTGAACAAAGTCAAGTCTTGGCAGAAGTGTATTTAGTTACTTATTTTTCTCAATCTTTTGACTGTTGTTATAAGAGACGGTGTTCTTTGGGCCTTTGAATAGTTGAAGCTCAGTGATCATAGCTAATTCATCTAGTCTTTTATTTCCTTCTCTTCGACTAGATTTTAATTAGCATTTTTATAGGAATTTTGGATTTGTGTTTGAATGATATAGAAGCGCCTGAAGTTGAGTGAAAAGTAACAACTTGTAGGTATTTATGCCTTTTATGGATAGCTTACTTTGATTTGTCTGAATTTTATCCTGTTTAGCATCTTTTCTTTTTGTATAATGGCAGCATTTACTTTGTGCATCTTGTTGATAAAATTATTTCAATGTTATTAAGTATTCAGGGGTTTTGGGGTTTTGGGGTTTTGGGGTTTTGGGGTTTTGGGG